TAATCTGTTGGGAAGATCGGCTACAGACGGAAAATACTATCATGAAAATGTTATTTTGTATTTAAAAGATCTAAAGATTTAAATTTTAAAAGTTAGATCATTTATTTTTCTTAGAGAAAGGATTTGCCTGTCACACAAACTTGGATTGCTTTTTGTAAAGCCAGCACAGCAGCATAAGGTTTTATTTTATGTTTCTGTTTCTCCAACTTTCAGCAAATTGTAATTTTTCATGCAATTTATGTAATGTAAACTTCCCATAATGCTTTTGAAGAATAAGAAAGTTATTTTTGGAGCAAATCTGCTTTGTGTCTAGTGTAGAAGCCTAAATTCACTTCAAGTTAAGATAAAAGGGATTATAGGTAAGTTACAATATCTACCTGAAACTAAAAGTTTCTCATATGTAAGGATATTCAATATTTCTAATAGTACTGAGGTTCTTTAGCAAATATGTGCATTTTGTTGCACATTAGTTTCTAGATGTTTAGGGGTGTGGCTTCTGCTTATGTGTTAATCAGGTTTGGAGTGGATTTTTGACCTACATTTACATTTCTCCTAATCTTCTTTTAATATTATTAGTTTTTTATGGATATTTCATACCTGTATTGTTTATATTTTGACATAAATGCTTGAACCTAATGGAGAGGATCCTTTTTGTCAGTTTTTTTTTCTTGCCATCAAGTGGATTACAGAAGGAAAAAGAGAATCAAGTTTATTGCTTCATTACTTAGGAACCTAAATATAGTTCTAAAATAAAAATAAAAACACGCCCAGGTTTAGGTATCTGAATAATGATAATGGCCTTTAAAGGTTTTTGTTGAAACTTTTTATACATACTGTGCAAGTCTAGTATGCTACATAGGAGCTCTATTTTACTTCAAATCGAGTCAATGAGTCAATTGAATCAACTGGTTTTCCTGAGATAGAAAACTTTAAAACAATTTGACTGTATGATCTGGTTGAACTGTAAAGTGCCTTGAGATGACATGTGTTGTGATTTGGCACTATATAAATAAACTGAATTGAAATAAAATTTTAGCAATGGTGTGCTTTAGCCCATTTCCAATACTCTTCTTCATCCTTCAACTCTTCCAAAACCAGATCCATTATGTTTGGAAAGGATAACTTGAGCTTTGGAAAAATATTTTCAAGCTCAAGAAAGAACACACAAAGGCTGATCTTACAAGCAAATTGGAAAATAATAAGTCTTTTTCATCCCAATTAAGGGAAATTCAGTTACTTTTGGCAACAAGTAAGAAATGTGTTGACAACAGAAGAAAATATACTGTATAGTTACCAGAAGCAGTATTGTCAGATCAAATTTAATGTGTAGCTGAGGAAGAACATTTGGTGCACTTATAAAATGCCATTTTAAAAACTGCACATGAAAAGCAGAAACAGAGTTTTTATAAGAAAATCAAAAACTCTGCAATCAAGCAGAGAGCCAAACAACTTCTGTGGTAAGAGTTATAGAGTCGAAAAAGAAGCTGGGAAGAAAGATCTGCAGTTATACACCTTAGTGCACATAGGGTGCAGCACTATGTCATATGTATACATCTCCATGCACAGGCTGGAAGACATGTACTAACAGTGAACAGAGTCCTTCTGTCTTCCACCACCCGCATTGGGTCGAAAGGGCATCCAAGAACAGAGCTAACCTCCGTGATAAGCCTATTTACCGGCTTCCTCTCAGCTGTAGATAAGCTGCTGCTCCAATAAACAGTATCAAAGAAGGCCGCTGACGCCAACACAGAAAAAAAAGAAAGTCTTCAGCAGCGCCCCATGAACATCAATGGATCTTAGCCTCTTTAGCAGAGTGATGGGGGCTCAGGAGATTAATGTTTGTTCTGTGACTGGTGGGTTGCTGGTTTGAGCTCCTGCTCCAACTGACATATTTGTTGCATCATTGAGCAAGACACCTCACCCAACATGCCTTCTGTAGATTGTATGTTATGATGGTAAATAGCATTTAAATACTTCTAAAGTGCTTTGGGGTCATCAGACCTGATAAAAAAATATTTAAGTACAAGTCATATACTATTCTCTGCTTTGACCTTTCCTGTGAAGAGCTTCAGTGCTGTTACTCCAGTCGAATACAACTCAATTTAATAAAGAATATGTATTTTTTATCACAAAGGAGAATTAAATGCTATTTAAATTGATATTATAGTTTTTTTTGTTTTGTTTTTTGTGGATGTTGATAGCTTTTCAGGTTCCGCTGGTTTAAAGTGACCTGCAGAAGCCTCTGTCTGTAGACACTGGTTGTTGTATGACACTCTCTGAAAGAGGATGCTTAGGGTTGTCCACACTGTTCCTCAATTATATGGCCCATTTGAACCATCTGGTTCTTGAATGCAGGCTACAAGCTTTACTTAACTTTGAATAGAGTTTGAAGAATGTGATAATACTGCTGCAGGGATAAGCATTCAGATGGTTCTTCTTTCCCAATGTTCTCTTCACTGGATCCACAGGCAAAGAAAATTGAAAAAAGGCATTTACTTAATCATATTTAGTTACTTTTAACACAATTGTTTCATGTTAGCAGGGTAGGACATAAAACAATTGTGTTAAAGTAACTAAATACGATTAAGTGAATGCCAAAAGTGGTTACATTACGGTACTTTTTTCAGTGATAGGATGAGCAGGCTTTATAGCAGGCTCAGCCTATAGGGGGCCACCAGATGATCTTTGATACTCCTCTGAGAGTAGAGTTTAGTCTGGAAAGTAATTTTGATCCTTTTAACCAATGTTCAATATTCATATCATGGTTATATGACCCTACCAGGTCTCACACTGTATCAACAGGACCATGGACAAGCACAATATCTGTACCATCTATCTTAATTGTTGTGCATTGATGCTAGTAATTAATTACTGCATTTTTGTTGTTAGTTTATGGTTAAAATACTTGCAACTAAAATGTCTTACAAGTATATCTTCTGCCATCCTCTATTTTAGAGTAGAACTACTTGCTTTGAATTTGGCGAAATGTCAAAATGGTAAATGGCCAGTACTTTTATAGCGCTTTTTAAAGTCAGAAGACTTGACCAAAGCGCTTTACTTCAGTCATTCATACACATACTGATGGCAAACTACATTGTGGCCACTGCTGCCCTGGGCCTCACTGACAGAAGTGAGGCTGTTGTACAGGTGCCCTCTGACCACCATCAATAGGCATGCAGGTGAAGTGTCTTGCCCAAGAACACATCGACAATGATAACACCGGGGCTCAAACCAACAACCCTCCAATTGCAGGGCAAACTCCTGCACCTGACCCCACTGTCGCCCAATGAGGGCAACAATAATCAAAATCAGAATCAAGTTTATTGCCAAGTAGGTTTGCAATTAGAAGGAATTTGACTTCGTGTTGATGGTGCAGACAAATTATATATATATATACAGAATCTATAGCTATATACAATAAAACATACAATATACTATATACAATATATAGTATATAGCTATATACTATATACACAGTAGACTGTGTTAATAGTATAGACTGTGTAACGCAGAAGGTCTGGAGATGCTATGTTGGTGTAGCTTGTAGGTCCTGAATGGGGGAGGGAGGGAGAGAGGCAGTGTCAGTGTCACCGGGGTCTCTGGGTCTTGTTGATAAGGCTTCTAGCGGATGGGAAGAAACTTCTTGTGGAGTCAGGTTTTTGGTCTTGATGGACAGCAGCCTCCTGCCAGAGGGAAGTGACTGAAATTGTTTATGGCTGTGGTGCGAGAGATCAGCCACAATCTTCCCTGTACATCTTGGAGGCGTACAGATCTCTCCAGTATAGATACCTAAAAAGTGTACTTAAGTACAGTAACGAAGTATCTATACTTTACTCCATTACTTATTTTTCTTTCTACTTCTGGCTTCTACTCATTACATTTTCACGCAAGTATCTGTACTTTCTATTCCTTACATTTTTAAAACAAATGTTACTCGTTACCCTTGGCTTCGGTTTAATGTTTATAAATATTTATTTGACGTCATGTGCGCCATCCAATGCAGATCATTGGCTCCATCCACATCTAGTGAAAACTAGTGTAATTGGATGAGTCATATAAAGCAAACACTCATTGGTTGTCTAAAGGAAATCATCAGAAGCAAGCAGGTTTTCTTCAAACTGTAAACGTGAATTGTCTATGCCATGCTACAATGTCGGATTCAGAAAAAGATGTTGAAATGTCTCAAAGGTCAGACACAGGCGAGAGCGTATCGGGAGATGGAGACCAACAAGACCTCCCTCATTAAGCTTTTAATTAATATAGTGGCATCTGGCTGGTTTGTTTTTTGTTTTTTTTTAAGGTTACTTTACCCTAGCCAAAAAGTAGTTTATTCAAATATACTAAAAGTGCACTAATTTCACACTTAAAATCAGGCAGTGTACTTAGAATTTACTTATTCTAAACTATATTTCATATACTTAACAATAGTATAGTCAAGTACACTTGACTATACTATTGTTTACTTTATTGCTTACTAAAGTATACTTTAAGTATACTTTAGTAAACTTAAAAATGTTACAATTTAGTTTGAAGAAGTATTACTTAAATAATACTTTAAGTACACTAAAAGTACATTGTTCGGTATACTTTCTAAACTTATACTTATACTTAAGTATTCCTAAGAGAATTTGCTTCAAGTATACTACTTTTTGCTAATGGTATACTTTTATACTTTAAGTGTTTTTTTCTGAGCACATACATACCTTTTCACTTTTACTAGAGTAAAGAGGTCAAGTTTTTACTTCAACTTTTGTGTTTTTAAACAGTATCAATAATTGTACTTATCAACAATTGCAGTATCAATAATTATACTTAAGTAACAAATGTGTGTACTTTTGACTCCACTGATGAGCATTAACATTGTGTTTCTGAGCTACATGTTTTGCCCACAATGCCCAGACAGCCAAACATACGACCAACACCATAAGCCGCTCCACTGGAATGAGGAATCCAGTCCAGAGTTTGCGGCTCGCCTTGCGGCTCTCCAGGCTGTGCTGATCTCTTTTGTTGTCAGGCAGAAAGACTCAGTAGTCAGGGTGGCGCGTGTCCTCAGACAGACAGCTAGCTCAAACAGATCAATAGCTAGAAATTTATCTGTTATTTAAACTTGCTATCGTGACATTTGTTTCTATTGTTCTGTTACCATGTCTCTGGGAGTGGAGTCTGGATTCTCTAGCGAGGAGGTGTTGAACAGCCGCTTCCCTCTCCATCGGGCTTGCAGGGATGGAGACGTCGGTGCCTTGTGCTCGCTCCTTCAGTGCACCTCGAACCCGGCTGACCTCACGGTTGAGGACACTTTCTACGGCTGGACGCCCATACACTGGGCCGCTCATTTTGGAAAGGTATAAAAAAAAAAAAAACGACTAGTTGTTTTTTTTTATGAATAACCAGAACGGTTGAGGTCTCTTCTCTCGGCCATTTCCTGGTATTTGTGTCAATCGAAGCTAACATTTAGAGCTAGCCGTTGCTAGCTAAAGAAATCCCAAATAACGTTTGTTTATTTGAACAAATTTAACATTTTGTATTCGTTGTGTGTAAAACTATTTATAAATAAAGCTGAACTGTGCAGGAAAAGCTAAACGGAGCTGTTAAACTGGCATGTGTGTTTTAAAAAATGAAGACTACGTGACATTTTTCTAAGGCTAACTTTAACTGAGCTATTTTCTGCATCATAAGATAATTTATATTTGTAATTATTTAACAAAAAAAGTTAAAAAAAATGATTGAACACGATACATTTTATTTATATTTGCAGTTTTTCACGTCGGTCGTGTTTCTTTGAAAGCACTGCGCACATCTCTGCGTGTAATCTGACCCCCACCTCTTTTTTCTCCCCACTGATTTTTGCTTTCCTCCACAGCTGGACTGTGTGATGCGCCTGGTTCAAGTGGGCTGCGGCGTGAACTCGGTTACATCCAGGTTTGCACAGACGCCCACTCACATCGCTGCCTTTGGGGGCCACCCTGAGTGTTTGTTATGGCTGCTTCAAGCTGGTGCAGATATTAACAGACGGGTATGATAACAGATGCACATTTCACACAAGACACATAATAAGATGCAGTTTGTTTGGGGAAAAGTTTCAGTCCTCATTCATTTGAAATGTGATCTTTTATTTTGACTGTTTTATAAATAGTATTGTAATGACAAAGAATAGCTACTGAAGTGAATGAAAAGGGCAGAGCAGATTTTATATGATCCCATCCGAGAGGATAATCCCAACTCAGGATCTTTGTCCTGAAAGTGTTTCTTAATTCTTACCTAAATAAACAGAAATTATTATTATTTTTTTTAAACTGTTTCTGCAAAACAAATTCCTGTGAGGCATATTTGTGTATTTATATGCATTTTGCATTGTTTTTCGGCTCCCTCTGGGATTGTATGTGTCGTTTCATGCACTGGGGCTATATTTTATGCTCTGCTGCTCTACTGAGAGAGATTGGATTAGTAGGTCACAATGACATAACATATTGTCGTCACGGCAAAGCGCACTGATCTCTTTAGCCCTTGAAAATTCCTCAGTGTTTCTGTTGAGTCAACCTGCTAAGAGGTTTGAGTTTTGAATTTAGTGGATATTATAAATATATCAGCTGTCTAGTGCTGGAGTGGAGAACAGAAAAGTTATTGGTGTTGATTTCATTGCTTTGTGGTTAGAAGGAGCCTTCTGAGGGTAGCCTGTTTTTCTTCCTCCATTTGCTCTCCGACGGTTGTAACTGTAAATGTGTGTGGGCGGTGTTGATGTCTGGGTAAAAAGTTCAGGTTTGGCAGTATTGAGTCACACCCTGTTGTAGGTTGTGAGGCATGTTCTCAGAAGTATTAAAGGATTTTCCCAGTAAAAATGTGCTGTATAGGATTTTAAAAAATCGATAAAAAGATGGGTAGCATTTTGCTTACAGGGGGCAATCAGTCAATGTAGATGCTTAAAAGATGCGTTGTGTCATTTTTTGCCTTAGCCCTTTATGCCACCAAAAAAAATTAAAAAAGTATGTCATCCAAAGAGGTTGTTGTAAATATAAAGTACAGATAGAACCAGTTGGACAGGGTCCATGCTGTGATCACTGAATGGGATCAGATTGAACGCATCTAGACCAGTCGAACCATAACAAACTCGATTTAGTGGGTTCATATGCTATGCAATCTGCTAGTTCTGTTAGCAAGAGAATTGTTCAAAATTGACCTGTAGGTGAGTCAAATGAGGTGAGGAGGCTTCATGCCCTCGGGTCAATCTACAGCTTTCTTTTGGAAATGTAAGCACCATAAACAATTAAAGTAAACATTATTTAAAGCCCCCCCTTTTTCCTGAAATTGCCACTTTTAAACCAGCCAAAGCTGAATGTTGGTGTCCCATGCCTAAGGTCTTCTGATTGAGCTTTTCTCGTCATCTTCTAGGACTATGTGGGCGAGACGCCCATCCACAAGGCTGCTCGAGCGGGCAGTCTGGAATGCATCAATGCTCTCTTGATTCAGGGAGCGAAAGCTGAGTAAGTCTTGACATCAGTCTCGTCCACACTTCTTTTCCTCTTTAACATCCAACATTTTATTTGCTCCATTACAAGGGACCACCATCAAATTCACGACGGCATTAATGGTTAAATGTTTCCATTTTTTTCTGTTTTTTCAAAGATGCATGTGAAAATGGATAAATGAAGGAATCTGTAAATTGAAAAAAGATTTTGTCAACAAACTGAATTTGTTTAAGAAACAGTTCTGAGCTTAAAACGAGCTTCTTTATTCAAACATCTTAATCAGTTTGAGATTGCATGTATATTAACTACATAGTGAGTAAATATATTATATTTTCATGTTTTTTCCTGATGATTCATGTTGTAGATTATGTCTGATCTACTACATTGATTTTATTTCAGTGGCAAACACTGAAATTAAAATGATAAAGGTGTTTCTGAGGTTTGATGTTGCTAGAGAGCAGGAAACAGCACATCTTTACATTTAAATACAATTTGAAATACGTCAGAGATGCCTTCTGTAAATTGTTGGCTTCTTTAGCTTAATTGTGAGTTTTATTGCCACATATAAACCTAGCTGATGGTGCTCCCTTGGAAATGTGATGTATTTGTTATTCCTTAAAATTGTTGTTTATAACAATTGGCATTAAGTTGTCCTCTGTGTGTAATATTAGTATGAAGATCTATTGGTATAACAACCAGATCGCCAAAAACAGGCCATTTCTGAAGACTTAAAGAAAAAGAGATTCTTTGCAGTTTTAAGAAATAATTTCCTGAAAAGTAGAGTTTAAAACTCTACCTTCACCTCTGATCTTAATGAAGGTATTAGCAATATGGCATCATTATTGCACCAACAAAAGGACAACTTAATGTAAAGGTTGATAAACTGTTGATTATCTCTTAGGTCATGTTGCATGATATTTGTTGAACTAGAGTGTCATTTTATTTAACATTTTTTTTTCTATTGTTTTACATAAAAAAAAACTTTGACTGGATGACCAAATGCACATTCTTATTTAGAAGCAGTTTTATTATATATATTTTTTTAAAGCTACAGGCTTGTTTGTTGCACAAGATGAAAATGCATAGACAAAACAATTACAAACTTCCCTGCTGCTGGATAGTTTCTGCAGTTTTATGTTTAGAAATACAAAGCCTGCTATTGTTTGAATAAATGGCAGGAAAATGTAGATAACACTGTCATCAAGGGTGATACTTAACTACAGCTTTGAAGTTGGCGGCCTTCATTCCATTAAATAAAAGCATTTTATGATTGATGTAGCCGAAGCCTGACGATTAAGAAACTCCTACTTTATACTTTCCCTAAATTTCCGTCTAACACATGTAGAGCAGCAGGTTAATGATTATACGATACACGTTTGAACTGCTGTTACCTAAAGCAATTTACAAAACCAGCTCTACAGCATTTAGATTGTTTGTTTGTAGAGTGTTGTGAAAAGAAAATATGCCTCTTGTCACTCAGCCTGTTTGTAATGAACGTTTTAGCTATAGTACCAACTTTGTACAACTGCTTTCGCTTTAGGAAAAAAAAAAAAAAAAGTTAAAATCAAACATTTCTAACATGATGCATAAAATGTATTTTCTCATTTAATCCAAAGTGTTATTCTTTTTTTTTTTTTTAGCGCTTTCATTTTCTGCAACAAATGTTTTTCCATTTTCTCTGATGAAGCAGTACAGTACAATAAGTCCAAGCTACCAGGGGGGTCAGTAAAAGGAACAATTTTGTTTATGAACCTTTGGAGGTCTAATATTACAGAGCTTGCTTCATAATATGAGAGAAATAAGCAAACTCAGCAGGAAAAAAATTGGCTGTTGCCAAACAAACTCTGACATCAGTACAGTTTGTTAATATTAAGCCGTTCCTGAACACTTACTTCTTAAGATGCCATGGAAAAGCTAATGTTTGGTGTCATTTACTAGTAATGGAATTTTAAAAGTAAATTTTAATTTATGTATATTGATGTATGACCAACTTTATTAGCTTTTTTATTTTTTGAGGGTTTATTTTCATGTTCCTAATACTCTTAACCCCCTAGTTGCTTTGATCGTTTGCAAACTTATGTCAGCCTCTTATATGTGCACTTGGTCATCAGTTAATGAGATTTCCTTATGATTAAAATGTTATTCTTTTTTCCCCCTGCAGATCACAGCTATTTAGTTCAGTCTATTATGAAGTTTGACTTGTATTTAATTTTTTTATTTAAGGATTATAGTGGGGTGAACCTGGGAGGGACACTACAGTACACAAGGTGGGGGTGAGGCTCATGACAAATTGTTAAATTACTTTAAACAAGAATTCAGATACTGGAAAGACACAGTAACTAAATTCCATTTAATTTAGTTTTTGTTAAAATCAAACACAGCTTATCAGATGGGTCTGTTTAGGTAGTTTGCTTAATGTTTTAGCCTTCAACTGGAAAAAAACTAAAAAGGCAGCATTTAAATCTTGCGGTAATTTAAGGTAAACAAACACTTTTTAGTCAGTAGAGACAATTGTGTATTTTTTCTGAGAAAAAAAAAACGTCTATCCGTTATTTATTTTTGAACTCTTTGTTAATTATCTACTTGTTATCTGGTTTGGTTAAACGTCAGAAATAAACAATCGGTTAGTTCCATTCGCTGTCGCCCCAAGAACCATTTATTAAACTGCACCGACTGTCTTGTCATACTGTGGCGTTCGATCTGGTCCTGGAGAATCCGTTTGCTTCCCCCGTTACCACATTTTCATTGGCAGCGGATGAAAGCTCTCACCAGTAGGAGGCTTTACTCATCCTATTGCCAGGCAATAAGTCCTCCCACGCTTGGAAAAACAAACTCCTGCTGTTAGGTTTTTATCTTCGGTCTTCGCTGGATGTCTTGCCCCAGTTTATTGCAACACTTGACATTTTTCTGGATTCCTGAGTAAACAACCTTTGGTCTCCCTATTTTCCTCTCCCTGCTCTTTTCGAACTTAAAAAATTGCAGTCAACCTTCTGGCTTATGAATCCACAAGAGGAAGTTATTTAGGTTTTTTTTTATAAATGGGTCACAGTGTGCCCTAGATATTGTGAAAGGGATCTTCACTGCTTGTCCTTACAAACTAAGGTAAAATTGTTTGAGTGGACTATTTTTATTGCTTTTTAAAAAAAACAAAATATAGAAAATCTTAGATCAATTTGATGAGGAATTTGTCAAATGGCACCTGACGGCTGACATCGTGCTTGCCGACGAAAGAAACTGATGTTATGATAAACTATCAGAGCCAGACCGTGCACATACGACTGATGGAATTTTAAGTGATCATTTTAGAAACCTTACATATTTATCTGCTAATTTGTCTACACCTTGCTTTTCAAATAAATATAGCTTAAAGAACCAGCGTTTCTTAGAAAATGTACCTTTTTTAAAAGGAATCAGTTTTAAGAATTCTTTGAAATTCAGGGTCCAGATCTTTAGTTAAATAACCAAACTATATGAACACTTATGCGAAATACATTTTAGTACTTTAGACTCTAAAGAGCAGGTCATGTCATTGAAAATTTAAATGCATTGTTCTTTGGGAAAATAACGTCACAATAAAATAAATTAAATAAACTAGGTTGTTAATACTTAATCTATTTCACAATTTAGCTTTTTAGAAAATGTATGATATTTTCTGCTTTATATAAAAGCTTAGCCATACAGATACCTTTTAAAGAGGCCGTTACCATCCATTTTATATTGCATTACTTGCACTGCAGCCTAAAAGAAAGGAAAAAAAAAACTGTTATAAAGCTTCGAAAAGAACAAGGTAAGCTTAAATGACATAAGCAAAACCAATATAAGATCAGAGCACTAAATTAAATAAATAATTAATAGAGAAAAAACATAAGTGAATATTTTGGCAGTGAATTAAATGGCGTTTTTTATTTATTCAACCTTTTTTTTGTTTAGATTGAGGAAAAAAAAGTGTTATGTTAACGAGTGTTAGGAGATATATCAGCCACTCATTTTCTGAATTAACTCAAAAGTTCTTAATATGATCTTGGAGGTTTTCTGGCTCAACGTCAAAAATCTACGCTTTCTGCTGGTCCTGGCAGGAGTTCAGTGAAAGGAGACTTTCTGTGTGCGTACCTTGCTTGCACAATTTTAGATCAAAGCCATACTATGGATTTGCCACAGTATTTCTCCTGTACTGACCTTCTCAAGTATGGAAAAAAAAAAAGCCTGAAGAAGATCGAAGCGACAGAGATAAATGGCCCTCTCAGTAAGCGCCTGCACCTCTTCACTACCTCCTGTAGCCCCTACAGGCATTTTCAACCTTTCGTCTTCAGATTTTCTCTCTTTAGCTCACCATAACTGAGCTGGGACTTGGTCTTTAAAATAAGTCTTGAGGATTATTTTAATCCCAGATTATGTCTTTAGAGGATAAATTGATAATTAGAGGAATTAACTTTTCGCCATGTCTCCTATTGTCCAGCATTTTACATCCTTTCTGTCATGGATGCCTTTTCAGTCAGACATTATCTCTGACATTTTTGTCAGAAGGCGTCCTTTTAAGGTCGCCGCTTCTTAATTTTGCTCATGCATCCGTTCCTTCCTGCCGGTCTTCAAGCTCTGCTCTATAAGTGCTCACCTCTGTTGTAAACCATCCTGGATCTGGCTGGGAGGTCTTGGTCTCTGCAACTTAACCATTTCCTGGACGTTCTTCAAGAAGTAGTGAACTTATCTTTCAGTTGCAGATGTCTAAGCTGCAGTGTCCTTACACATGTGATGCCAAACAATGATGGCTGCCCAATCTTGCTTGGAGAGAACCCCAAATGAAACAAGAGGATACATTACTTTTGCTGCTTCTTTTTTTTTTTTTTATAGCAGTGTGCAGCCAAAGTGAATTTAGCCAGTCTATTTCTCAATTAAACCAATATTTTGGCAAACTTTCCAAAATCCATTTGTGTCACTGCCAAAACATGAACTTTTGTATTTAAAAAAACGATCAAAATCCTTCAATTAAGGCCTTTGTAATTGTCATGAGCCTCAGAGTATGCAGGTGGTTCAGTATGACACTAGCTGCAGGGAGGACAGTGCTGAGAGGCTGCTGGTGATCAGAGTAGCTTAGAGCAGCTGAGTGAGTCTGCACAGCATCATGTACTGACCTGTTTAATGCTAACATCATCCTGTTGCTATGGTTATGCACTGTCATTTCACTGTACCAGATGTCTTCCTTTATACACAGAAATGTTTTTTTTTCTTTTGTCTGTCACAGTATTAACCTTATATAATATCATAGTCTGTTTTGACGTCTAATCTGTCACCTTTTCCTTTATGAAAGTGACAATAAGTTACAGAAGAAAAAAAAAGTTTGCTATGTTAAAACCAGAACCATACATCTTAATTGTTTTGCAGCCATTGAATTGGAAATGACTTGGTTTTTTCAAGTAATCCTAGAAAGGGGGAGAATAGACACTGCTGAGTCTGCCCCGTTCCCTGGGATAGCCGCACTGTTGTGGCATTGAGTGTTCTCACTATCGCTTCCTATCTACACACTGGCAAACTGTTGAGGTATTTCTTGCGGTGATTGGTTTTAATGCTAGGTTTTTTTAATGAATCAAAACTAAAGTTGTTGTTTTTATTTTATTTTTTAGACCTGCATGCTTTGCTTATTTATCCATAAATGTTCCTGTATTTAGCCTTTTTTTTTTTTTGAACTAACCAGAAGAATCCTTTTTAAATGGCCAGGTTTTAATCACATGAGTCCCATGTCAAGATGTAGCATGACTATAGGCTGCTTCTGGAAGGTTAGACAATAGTTAGTGAAGATGCATACAGTGTGCTTAGGACTGAAAAGCAAAGCATACCAGGCATTTACAAAGAATTAACGCTTCCCTTTTCAAAATTTCGAATTGAAACCTGGATTAATGCTAATTATTACAGTTATTAATTTTATTGAATCACTATTTTCCATAGATGTTAAGGTCTCACTAAAGGAATACTAGTTTGATGCAAGTATAAGTCCAACTCAAACTGCATCTGAAGGATATGATGAGTCGAATAAAAGCTGCAGATTTTAATATGTGGGAAAATTAGAAGTCGGATTAGAAATTAATTTCTTACTCTGGACATTTCTTGTTTCTGCTAATTTCTGTAAGATGAAAATAATTATTAACGTTCTGTGTTAGTGATCAGTTACTTTTGTTTTAAAGCTATTATAGTAACAAATATTAATTGCTTGATAAGGTTAATTATATAAAAAAATAAAGTCTTAATAAAGTGCAATTTTTAGGATTTATTTAGCTGAGTCTGAGTTCTAAATGATCCCATGTGGATTCAAATATGAGCTAGTTTCCTAAATATACTGAAATGTTTCCCATGCAGCTAACATGGCAAATGTTTTTGTAGAATGAAGCAGCGGCCATTTTTTATTTTTATTTTATCAGAGTGATTAGAACTCCTTGTTCCTGTTCTTAGAAATTGTATTTCTTTTTAAAAGGGAATGTAACAGTAACTTATTGAGTATGGAGGCTTTGAACAGTTGTTGATTTAAGATCCGTTTGTATTCCTGGAGTGAGACCAGTTCATCTACCCAAGGGTTTCTTGGATAAATCCGATCTTACGTTGGAAGCGTTAATTTTAAAAGGGGATGGGTAATGTGCAGCAAGTTTTTGTGATCTTTTTTCTTTAATCTTGAAATATTACAGAATGTTTTATCATGTGCACTAGCTTTTGACCTGTTTTATTTTGCATTACTGTTTAGATCAGAATGCAGAATTAGGCAATTTCTAATCTGAAATGAATGATTAAACAGCAAATGTGCTTTAAATTCTACTTGGTGTGGAAGCCAATGTCATGTTCTTTTTTTTTATTTTTATTTTTTAAGGATTTCATCCTTAACATTGTTAAGTATAATTTAGCTTATAAAGGCTATGCATTTCTAGCACTGTACTGTTATTCTCCTCCAGTCCATTCATCCTTTTTTTTTTTTTTTTGACTGATAATAAAGGATAGGGTGTAGAAGTAGCTCTAATTCTTTGACAAAGAAGCATTTGTTTTAATCAGGGAACCCACTGCTGTATGATATGTGGGCTCAGAACAAGGCGCTATTGTCTTATTTGCCAAACAAGAGCCAGAAATTTCCACTGCAGTTTTGAGTTTATTGAAAACTAGATCCACACACATTGTCTACTTTGTACCTTGTCCATCTAATAAACCTCAATCACTTTTTTAAAAGATTTTAACCAGAAAATGACACATTCTGGCTTCAACTTTTTGTTTAGCTGTGACATTTGCTTCCACACTTTTAACGGCACAGACTTCAGTGCTTAAAATGAAAGATAATCTCTGGCACTTCTGTTTTCTCATTCATTATTGCACTCAGAAAATCACATTATTTCTGCTTCAGCTGGACATGATTAACACAACTGTTTACAGTACACACTCCTGTTAAAAACTGGTACACAACTCCTTTCTACTTGTTTACTTTTCTTAAAAGTCGGGATCAATAATTTCTTACAGCCGAAGCTGTTGTTTTATTCCCTTCCTTGCTCTTGTGTGGATTGGTCAAAACCGCTCTTACTTTGGACCCAGAGACTTGTGCTTTTGTTTGTCTCTGAAGACTTCTCCACTTTGGCAGCTTTTGCTGTTGAGAAAAGGCTTTCTTCTGGAAAATCTCAATGGGGATTTGGAAGCTGAGTTCCTTGATCATCATCAGCGCTGGAAAACATAAAATGGAGTTTCATTAAAATACTCTCTTTGCTCCCATCTCTTGCATAGAAGCCAAGCTTTGAAGCCCCCATAAATGCTTGTGGTATGGGGGCTGATTGGATCCATCTTCAGAGCCTCGGATACACAAACTTAGCTTTAAATGTCTACAGTTGTCTTAATCATGTCCCTCTGCAGCAGATATGTTTCCCTAAATTCTGTGGAAATGGGGAAACTAAGCTCTAAGTGAGGTTGATCCAGAGAGGATCATTCGTCATCTCTCATGAAGATGATGGAGAGTATATGAAAGGGATGAGCAGAACAGGCTATTTTTATACCTCTATGAATGTCTGTCTGTATCTTTACTTGGTGAGTCTGTGTGTGTGTGTGTGTGTGTGTGTGTCAGTGTGTGCGTGCGTGTGTGCTTGGGCTTGTCTACTGTTGTTTTTTTGTGTATGTAAATCAAAAGTGCATTAAGTGCTTCTGACACTCCCTCTTCCCGTTGTGCAGAATGAGGAATGCCAATGGGCTGACGGCCGCTGAGCTGGCCCACGCACAGGGATTCCAGGAGTGCGCTCAGATACTCGCCAATGCCCAGAACCTGCAGCAAAACATGGCTCAGTCCCTTAATGGGGCTTTTTTAAATGGCATGACCCAAAATGGTGGCCATGCTCATGCCACCATCCAAGGACGAAGCTTCTTGAATGGTGTGCCCAACAGAAAGAGGTCCTTCGAAGGCGATGAGGCAAACCCATTCAAAAAGGCCAGACCTAATGGTAGGTCACTGGATTCGTTTCATTTATGTTCTGGGTTCCCCTTTATATAAAGGTATTTTATATAAGAATGTGTGCTACTACCACGACCCCTATGCAGTTTTTCTAAACATTTGAGAAAAAAAGCATTTTTTGTATCAGGAAAATCAACTCCAATTGACTTCACATTGTAAATATCTATGCAATAATGTTTGAGCAACAGCTTAGAGACCCAATGAACAGAAAACCTGCCCTGGGCTGCGCCATGGCAACAGCTGTTTTATTTTAGAGTTCATCACGCCTCACTTTTTAGACAATATTCTAGTTTCTCTGACTGAGAGGCTGTTTTTTGATGGCGGACGATAAATTCATCTGAAGATTTAGTTTTCAGCCATAGATCATATTTTTTCGACTTCACCTTCTACACCTCTGACTTTAAGAGTGTCTATAAAGGGATGACTTTGTAATGTTTCACAGGTTTTCCATTATGATAAATATAGCGAAAATCAATTTGTAAGCTTTATGTTAATGTTTTTGATTAAACATGTTGATGCATCAGGCTATAAATAAATTGAAATACGATAACAAAAGCATAGTGTCAGAGATTAGGCGGATCACTTTGATGTGTTTTGGTAAAATAATGTGAGATATTTTTCCGCCATCCTCTAATAAATAATTTTTTTTATTTTTTAGAGCCAATAGATATGTTTGATGTTTACTAAAAAAAATATTTAGTTTTACTTCATAAAAAAGTGCAGATCAATGTTCTGAATGTGTTATTGTTTTATAATGGAGAAAATGTAATCAGTCTGTTTTATTTTTCTATAAAGGACATCAATTAAAACTGATGGTAATAAAATGTGAGTTATTGAGTCTTAATTTGCAAATGTTTAATGCTTCTCTCTGTTCCTAGGACTGTCCATGCAACCTGAACAGCTGAATGGGAACGGGCCACTAGATGGCCCCAGAGAGGCCCACATGGAGAGCATGAACATGGAGACAGCAGCAGCTGTAACCTCAGGTGGGCCGGGGAGCTTTACATTTGGGATGAATGGGTTTGGACCCCCTCAGGGGTTGGGGCCTGTGGATCAGTGTGAGGACCAGGGGCCACAGAACAAATTGAGCCCTGCTGCTAAAGAGCTGGAGGTCATCACTGTGGCGTCAATGCAGACACCCTGTCGCTGCACTAACTCCTATGCCTACCTGTAGAGGGAGCTGTGTGGAAAATGGCACACTAATACAAATTGTTTGTAATGTCAGATTTTCCTGTTATGTGGTGTGCACACAAGAGGATGCATTTCTTATGACTTGGTGATGAGTTAAAATGAAACGATGTGTAGACGTGTATGAGTGGTATGTTTCATACTTATCTGTGTAATTAGCATTTGGATGGATAAAGGACTTTTTCTAGTTGTTATATCTCTTATAAACTAATAATTTCTGCTTCAAGTTTACCCACATGTTATCCCCTATGTTTGGATTTAAAGTCTGATTTTGTTTTGCACAATTTTATGGAAGTTTGTATCCCCATTAGACGCGAAGTTTGAGTCAACCAAGTAAGTACTTCTTTAAAATACAAAGTAGTTTGTGATTTTTATCTTTCTCAAGGAACTTCTGTATAAGTTTCTGGTTTTAGATTGTTTTGTTTTTAGATATTTTTCTTTTAAAAGATACATTTTGTTTACCTGTCAGATTATTTAAAAAAAAATAGTACATATTTAATCTGTTTTCCACTTACAGTATCTATTTGGGAAATGGTTAAGTGCTCTCGTTTTTTTTTAAATTTTTTTTAGATATACTATATTCCCTGAGGACTGCCAGATAAATACATTAATGGTAACACAATCCCTCACAATGTTATTCATGAACCTAAAGCATTTTGTATGATCAGCCAAAGCATATTCCAACATGAATGTAGCTCTTAAGAAATAAAAAATCCCTCTGCCTTTCTGTAGTTGCTAGCTGTTAAAAAGCTTCTGGGGCTTGAACATATGACTGTCCCTCCATTTGGTTTTAATCTGGTTTAAAAACTAGTAACTGTGTAAATGTTAGGTGTTTTTATGCAGTCAACGGGACTTGTGTGTGTGTTTGTCATTTTATAGCATAATCTCATACGTAATAATCAGATGTATTAATCTGTGTTTCACTGTTGTATAACAACCGCTCAAGGAAGATTGCATGGTTTTCAAAAAGCCTTACAACCTGAGCTATATTTGAAAATGATTTTTTTTTTTTTAAGTGTTTGTTTTTTTTCTAGATGCAGAAAGATTTTTTTTTTATTTTGAATAGAATGTTTTCCATTCCGATGTTCTTTTTCTGTTCATACTTTTTATGAAAAAAGGCAAGTGTGTATTTTGAAAAAAAAAAAATGCAGTTCTTTGTACTGAGCAGGCTTAGCTTTGTACTTGACTGTGTGAAAGCATTAAATATGGATGATTTTTATAAACATGGTCTTTGGCCTTTGTTTTGTTTTAGATATTTCATTATTTTTGCCTTCTATAAAGTATGTGGATGTTGCTTTCATATCTAAGAACATGTGGATAACTAAGACTGTTTGTGAGCATCTTGTTTAGTTTAAATGAATATTGAGTTACGTCAGGATCTTGCCTGTATTTCACAATGTATTGATCGGATTCTTGTTCAATCCAGAAAGCTTCTTTTTTTTCCACCTCTAGCTTTTTGAAATTGGGTCACATAGCGACCTCATTTTACTTCAAAATTGCCTCTTTTTGCTGCTTTTAAGGAGTTAAAACAGTTGTGCAAAACAAAATCAGCCCAAATGTTTCCTTTGCTCATCTCATCCGTAAAAAGACCAAGTTCAGTCGATGTGTATTAGCTTTTTGACAATTGTTTTTGTTTACAATGGCAGGTGAGAGACACTGCGGGGATATATCCTCGAGTATCCCAACAGCAGGAATGCTCCATGGTCGGCAGATCTACAGTGAGATCAGTAGCAGTGTTGGCAGCCAGGTGGAGCACCAGAAGTCTGTCAAAGCAGAGCAGCTGTATGACCATACCCTCTACAGCACCATGCTTCTTTACCACGGATGCTAAGCTAACAAGGATATAGATTCATTTCATTTAGGCCAAATTAAGCATTTATTCGCCTTAAAACCACCGAGTGGAATATTATTTTTGTTTCAAGTGGTTTTTGGAGGTTAAAAACAAGGGACAGTGTGGATGACTGAATATTTTTTGTTTTTTGTAAGTAAAAGGTAATTGTTATGTTCAAGTGTCTGTAAACCATGTTTGGATGCGTTAGGTTCTTCATAACACTACAGAATATGAAGAAGCACTGCCAACATTACATTTGTTTCCAGTTTGAATACATCCACTGTATATCGTAACAAAATTAAAAGTTTTGCAAATGTACACTCCTTTTTTTCCCCGTCTTTGTTTAGGAAAGGTAGAATACCTTAGTTCGGAGCAATTGGATACTAAAAATATGTGATATAAAAGAAAAGGTAGTGTGAACCCTGACTTAATATAAAAAATTTTAACTAATGGTAAATCTTAAATTAACCATATAATTTCCTCTGATACTTGATTTTTTATGTTCCATTGGTTTTTATGCTTTGACGGTGTATTATAATAATAGTATTCATTTAGAATATTTAAATAACTGGAATTATATTGATTGCCATTGGTTCATATGATAAAATGATTTGCCTATCCATACCATAACAATTACAATACCCCTTTTTGTGGCCAAGCTACTGGCAAGAAGAAAAGTTCAATGTAAAATTGATAGAGAACACAATGTAATGGACTGACAAAGGCAACATTGTTTTGTGCCTCTGGGCCACAGTTGACTGTAAAGCACGGTGGCTCAAACATGTTCTGGAGGTGTTTCTCATATTATGTTGTTGGGCCTGTATGTTGCATAACACAGAATGTGGATCAGCTTGAAGACAAAGGCCCTGCTTCATTATATGGAGTGTTTCAAAAAGAAAACAAACCCATGAGTAAATGTTTTCCTTCCAATCTAAAAAGAAGACTGCCAAGGAGTGATCAGCACAATCTCTGGGACTTAAAGGAAATCCTGGAAATGTGGAATCAAGTCAAATTGTCCTTAACAGAAATACCTGCTCATGGTTGCTGCAAATAGATGCCGTTTCTATGCTGACCTGAATTAGTTCTACCAAACATCAGTTTTAAAACAAAATATCCATACTCAATAAGTTACTGTTTCATAAAAAAAAAAATTAAACAATGAGGTGGTAAACATTTTGAACCCTAGATAGAAATTGTGTTTATTGCATTATTTAGTTTAATACTTTTTCAAACTTGGCCTTTGTTTCTGAGATATAAAGCTCAATTATTAATGATGGAACTAAGGCAGGAAAAATGCACGTTTTATACATTTAGATGTGTCTTATTAATATCACTTATGAAGAGGATGTGCACTTTATTTGTTAAATCTAACAATTTTTTGGGTGGGGGGGGGACTAAAGGGCTAATAATGACTAGTCTTCCTTTTGCTGCTGTAGAAAAATTGAGGTCATAAAGAAAATCTTTAACCTTTGACTTTTATTTTATCTACTTATTTGATCAATTTGTTTTCTTTTTCTGAGGCAGAATTTACTTTTTTGTGGATGAAGAAAGAATGTATTTCATTATCTGAAATGTGCATTCCAACGTCAAACTGCAAAGGATCAATAGATTCACGTGGAAGCACACGCCACACCTGCCAGTGCAACGACCTTCATTCTAGCTGGGCTGCACTGACGTAATGTGTCGGTGACCACGCCCTCGAAAGAAACTGTGGCCTCAACCAAAATGGAGGGGTAATGTTGTAAATCCATTAGGATAACATCACTTGCTTTAAGCATTTTATCAAAAACCCACATTAAAACTGGTCATACGAAAATAATTACCGTTCTATTTTCTTCAAAGACTGCAAACTATAGAAACATAAGACATTGTGCTTTAATTCCCCCTAGATGGTTGGTATAGCCCTTTAAATCTCTTTGGGCCTAGCGGTGAGTCGGAGCCTTCTGAGGAACGACGTAAAACGTCGGCGGCGGTGGGAAGGCTTCACCCCTTCTACTCAAAATTCCATTAAGTACAATAAATTATTTCGATCAATAAAACGTTTTCTTTCAATATAGATGTGCTATCAATAAGGGTTTCACAAGTCAAGCCATGTCCACCCCGGCGAGACGAAGACTTATGAGAGATTTTAAACGGTGAGTCCAAGCTATGGAATTCTGCCGACTCTGCCTGGTTAGCCGTTTTGTCAAAACAAGCTAACATTAGCCTAGCTTACGTCAGCTTGATATTTCACAAAAAACGGGAATTATTCAGTTCCGTTGCAAATTACATTTTCCATGTAGATGTTTTTTGTTTACATTAAGTATCTGAGAGTGTGGATAACACATAAAGGTACTGTTAAATATTGAGGAGCGAGAAATATCGGATAAGCGAACTATGGTAGATGCTAGCAGTTTAGCCTACTTGGTTTACTGGTAAGAATTTACTCTTCACGAACTACCTTTTAAATGTCGGACAAGAGTAACTGAAAGGACATTTTTTTAATGTAAAGTTTGATTTAACTAGCCCTTATCTTGATAATAACTAGATAAGGCAGTTTTTGGACAATTAGATTGTTTTTAGTTCAAGTTGGTGTGTTTAATATAATAAAGTAGCGCAATTCCATGAAGATTGACTTAAAATCGCGGAGGAAGTCATGAACAGGCGTTCCTGCGTGTTGTTTAGGGGAATTTTAACAGAGCTGTTGTTCTGACTTAACAGGAACATTTTGTTCACGAAAAGAGTTGTTTGTGTGTTAAAAGCGAGCTTCACTGCGTCCTGAAACACATCTCCTATTTCTTCTTCACACGGTTCGGTCCAAATATTTCTATACATTTTTATGGAAAAATGTTGGAAAATTAAGATAAAGCAAACAAGTTCATTTTTAAATTCAAGTTTAGATTACATTACAATGCAATCTTTTAAAAGGTTTTCAGCTATAATTTAAAAACAAATTCTCAATTTTAGTATTTGGCATTAAATGCTGAACAAATAATATCTGTGCCATTTCAAAAGATTTAAAATTGTAAAAAAAAAAATTTTCAGTGCTGAAATAGTAGCATGACATTTTGCCATTTAAAGAGTAATATGTATTGAAATAATGGGGCCTGCTGTTTACATTGTTTTTCAGAGGTCTATTTCCAATTTTGGACTAGAAATCTGCTTTGTGGACTAATCAAGCATCATATTGAGCAGCTATTACAGCAATAGCAGTCAAGGAGTTTATCTGAAAACAGCAGCCACAGTTGCATAATAACATAGAAGTTTGGAGTTAACTTTAGAGAATAACAATTGGATCACGGTGGCATCAAACATGTCACATCACGTCACCAACCATGTGCTCCTCTTCTGTCTTCACCCCCTTATCAAACAGGGGATGCTGCTGCTTGTTGGTTTCAACTCAGCCTGGCAGACCTGGGTATTACTGAGCGATTCAAGGCTCTTTATTCATTATGGAAAGCTGAACAGCTTCCCTGGGTCCTCCACATCCTCCAGAGATGCTTGTAGATCAGAGAGTCCATGAGGTGGGCGGTTGGGCCTTTTCAAGGTGAAAATTGAAACAGGCTTTTAAAAATCCATAAAAAAACAGCATTCCTTACTTCATCCTATGTCTACAAAAAGTTTTTTTTTTCTATCAATTTTGATTGGGAAAAAAAGCTGTGCTCCTTTACCTTGTGTCACAGCCACATCCAGTCCCTGATTGGTTGTTGCAACACAAGACGGAAAGATTCAGATTAAGAGATCAAGTTAAGAGTCAGTGTGCCTGTTGCATTGCTGTGCTCTGAATGCACCTCTACATTGGGATAAAATGTAAATCGATTGCTCCGGTCGCTGGAATCTTGTTCACAACACTGGGCAGGATTTTTAGGGGTCATGGATGGCTGAAGGAATAAACCCGTTGTGTGATGGGGAAAAAAAGTCCTAATATTTGTAGTTCTCATAAAAGTTCTTTAGGGATAGTTTTAGTAAATTCCCTCTTGGATGGAAGAACTGATTTTCAACTTTTCCCTCTTTATTTTGGTTGAAAAAGGCTTCAAGAAGATCCTCCAGCTGGAGTCAGTGGGGCCCCATCTGAAAACAACATAATGGTGTGGAATGCAGTGATTTTTGGGTAAGTGAGTAAAATGTATTTATCCAGAAAATATAACAATTATTTGAAACGGAAAAGAAAATGTAAAATTATGTATAATCTTGCAGGCCCGAAGGAACTCCCTTTGAGGATGGTAAGTATCTGGCAATTCTTGGTTTATTTTTGTTAATTTTTTTTTTTTGCTGGATAAACCGTTTTTGTTTTACTGGTCTTTAAAAAAGTCATATTTAAGTTATACTTTTAATTAAAGCAGTTAAACAGCGATGTTATTATAGCTTACTGCATTCCTCTCTAGTTTATCAGGAGCTGTTTTCAGGGTATTT